CTTCAAGCAATTGCGAATAAGAAAAGTAGATCCTATAAAATGCCATTCAGAATTTGCGGAGAGGTTCGATTTTGAAGTGAAGCATACTTTATAAGTACTGAGAAAAAGGATACAGGAATGATTTTTAAAAGAAAATAGTATTGTAAATTGAGATACAACCATTTTTAATATTTAAAAATATTATGTTAAACGACGTTAAATGAAGGTTTGACTAAATAATCTTAAATAAAATGTGTATAATATCTAATAAATAAAATGCAAAATCCACCACTTAAGTATAATAATAAGGAACCAAAATTTCTAGAAATAGTACATACTGATTTGTGTTACCCTCGTAACAAAGTTGGTATAAAAAAAAATTTAGTAGAAACAAATATTTTTAAACTTTATCATTTAATAACTTTTTTAATTTATTTATTCACAAAAATATCGTTTTACCCGAAACTCGATATATTATGTGTGAAATTCATTCTTATACTAGTAGAAGAATACATCTGATATTAATCGTTACTTGACTTGTATTAAAGCAATTAATATAAATTACGGCTTGTAATATGCATCGTTTATGTATCATTTATTTTTCTTACTACAAATATCAATAAATTATGTTTAACAGTAATAAAAACTTTATTAAACCTTCTAAAAAACTTGTTTAAAATTGAAAATGCAATCTTCTTTATGTTTACACAGAGTGACTATCCAGTGACCAAGAGACGGGTTTTTTTGCAACACTGGAAAAAAATTTGTTGTTTTTTACGTCAAATATTCTTTAGCAAACATTAGAATCAATGTCAAACATAAAATAATAAGCTTTCAGTAAAAAAAACAACTCCGTTTGTAGAGATAAAATCATTTTAACTCCATGATAAGTGAAATTCGCCGCCCTGCAGTAGCTTAATTGGCAGAGGAAGTGTCTAATGGAAGACTTTTTATTTTTGGTTATCAGTGTATAATGTAAACAGTTATCTACTTCAGTATTTTGAAATCTTATGAATTACATAAATTCTTAAAAATATATTTACTAAGCCTCATAACTTTTCTCAGGCTGTATGATTTTTTTGTAATTTAAAAAATATATTCGATTTATTTTGTGAAAGTAGAATATTTTAGTATACACGTTTGATTGATTCTTACTGAAAAAAAAACTGTCACAAATTCTAATTAATTAATAACTTAAGTTTGTTATAATAGTAAGATGACAAGAAGTTGAATATTCAAGTCCTAAACATCACAGAATATAAGTTTTTTTTTGTGATTATTTTTGATTATTTTTGCAAAAATACTTTTAATTAATCCTTTTAATACTTTTTCTTTAAAGTTTCCTTTTATCTAGTTGTCACTTAAAATTCAAATTTAATTTTCATTTGAGCAATCTATAGTTTGACCATGCCCTGTTCTATATAAAAAAAGTATGGACTTCAAACAGTATCATCAATACCAAAAGAGTTATTCTAGCTCAAATGATCAACATAGATATTATTATACACCTTATTTTAATAATATCTAGCTAGACGTTATACATTTTTTAAAGAGTATTTTACATACATTCTTTAATTTTTGAACTAATTTTCGCTTTCTGTAATATTCTGATCTTTTTATTACTTTATTCATGTATATTTACGTATATTATTTCATTATTTGTGTGGGGAATTCAGCACAACCCCTATAACCTCCACCCTTCACAATCCCCTTAATTTCCTACTGCCTCCCATAAAATACGGTGAAATTCCATCTTCTTCTCCTTACTTTTATCTTAGCTTTTAATTTCTCTATATCCCCACTACCGTTAACAGCCCTTTAGTTCCTCCTCCACGTAATCCTGATGTTCCCCCGCAGAATTGTTCTTTACTTCTTACCTTCCCACAACCCCCACACCATTTTTGTGGAATCATATAATTGTAACATATAAATTAATAACATTGTAAATGTATACCGACTTTGTTTTCGTTATTCTGACTTAAATTATTATTTATCAAAACACCCCACCACTCTCTACCGACCGCTTAGATACTTGAATATTTACTTTTAAATACATGTTTTTGTACATTTTTTTACGGCACCCGTAACGCGCATAGATGGACTTCATGTATACCAATAAAATTATCAACTAACTCATGTATATAACTCAGCATTAAATCATAAATGAATATACATCCCCTGTATTTTAATTTATACATTAGTACAAAGTTTTTGCTGCGCTGAGCATTTCTTTGATAATATTGGTGATAAACTATGTAAAAAAATTTAGTTTTTTGTTTGCCTTTATATAACATACTACTTTTGCATACGTAAACTTTGATAATAGTTATACAATAATTTAAACCGTAAAAGTGCTTCCCTATTGAGCAAGCTTAGTGTTGTGAACCAACTAACAGAACCAGTGCAATAATTAAATTAATATTTTTTGTGCTATTAAATGGATACATGTTTATGAGGAAATTCTGTATCTGTTTGTATTTCAAGTTAAATATAATGAAATTGAATTAGTCGTCTCTTTTGAAGGCAAAAAATATAAAAACATGTATATAAAGCCTGAAACAGTAAGTTAGTTTAAAGATTGTTTGCTAATCTTCATTAAAATTTTATCAAAAGGAAGAGAATTCTTTATAACAAATATATCATTAGATGTAAGAGGAGAATAAGATCGAAGAATGCTTCTTATACTATAATAAAAGAAAAAGCAAGATCTCGGAAAGTTATAAGAATGGGAGATACCTGCAAACAGTTCCTTATTATTGCACGTTTTCGAGCAAAAAACTGTCTTATACTGCGCGAATACATTTTATTTGCAAATATATTTGTTGTCGCCCTAAGAAGCATGGTAAATAATTGTGACGGTTGGCGTGCTTAGCGCGCAAGGGGGCGTAGCCCCACTACTTTATACATGTATATTTATGCAGAGGGTACTTATGCGGACAATCACATATATGTAAGGGGAGTCATGAGGACAGAAGTAGAATTATGCAGATGCTCGCATGATTCTACCACGTTACTGATATATATTCTAGAAGCATGTGAAGTCTGCATAAGTCACTTTCTATAAACACATTTAGAAGGTCACTTATGCGGACTTGACGTGCTTCTAAAATGCATATCAATAACCTGGTAAAATTATGCGGACTTCCCTGCATAATTCCACTTTTGACCTCATAATTACCCTTACATACATGTGAGTGTCCGCATAAGTCACTTTTGCATGTGTGTGTGTGTGTGTGTACATCAATGTACCATTTTTTAATAATAGTTTATTTGTAAGATTAAAATAGTTGAACTCTTGCTATCGCACTGTTATAACAAAATTTTATTATGCATTAATCGAATTTTCTAACAGCTTTTAGTAAAAGTGAAGATTTATCAGGGGTTTATGTTAAAAAATCTCTACGCTCTAGAAATCAATACAATATATTTTTTTTAATGCAAAAACAAATAATGTGTTTAAGAAAAAATTTAAAGCCTAGTTAAATTATTTCAAAGAGTTTGTTAAACGTTCAAATACGAAAATACTGAAGGTAGTATTAATTAACATTATCGGAATTCTGGAGTTGATGAAGTGTATATAAATGTTTTAGTCGCTTACCTACTAGCTTGTTCTGAAATTTAAATGGTTATTTATATAATTCAATAAAAATTTTGTCGGAAAGATTGTGCATAAGTTGTTCGGCACAAGTGACACATTATTTAGAAATAAGCAGTGACCATGAAAAAATTATGATGCGTTTTTATCGAATGAAAATAAACTTAAACAGCAAAATCACATGATACTTTGGTGAAAATTAATTGTTAATATAGGATTGAATAAAACAAGTAAAAAGTAATTTAAGTAAATTATTTAGTAACTACACTTGGTATAAGTTACAATGTAAATTATCCAAGTTGATATTGGAATTGCTTTGATAAAATATTTTTTAAGTAATAAGATTTTTAAAATATTTATACCAGATAGAAGTTTAAAATTTTTCTAGAAGAAAAATAAAAATACAGTTGACCATTTGTTGATTTAGCTTGAAAAGTTACATATGTAATCAGATTTTTAGATATAATTTTTTTTTGTGATTATTTTTGATTATTTTTGCAAAAATACTTTTAATTAATCCTTTTAATACTTTTTCTTTAAAGTTTCCTTTTATCTAGTTGTCACTTAAAATTCAAATTTAATTTTCATTTGAGCAATCTATAGTTTGACCNTAATTATTAATAAATTAATGAGGTCAATCTTATAGCTGTCAGTACAGCCAGATTTAGTAAGCTTACGTAGAAGTACAGTAAAGTTTATTCATACAAGTTACTGACCAAAATTATTTGAATTGTAGAAATTCAATCTAGAAATACTGTTGAATTTTTTACAAAATCCCTTAAAATGTTCAAGTTAGTAAGATTCCAAAATATGCTAGTCATGAAATATTCCATATACAAGACCATTAATAGTTTAGAAAGGCTAATAAAGTATTTTATATAGTTCTGCTGAAGATTCTTTGTGCACACGTGTACGTATTATATAAATGGGGGGGAGATGGACTAGTGGCGAAATCTTGAGCGACCTATAAGTGTAGAATTTAACAGACACCTGGTGCTTGGACAAATCATGCAGGGAGATCTGATTTGTCCATCAAGGCATTTGTTAGTGCGTGCACAGGTGGCTTCGCTATAGGATTTACCTAGTTCTATTTAATGCGTTATCTCTTAATGATAGTATGTTAACAATAAAGGGTCTTCTTGTTTTTTTGAGATAACGGTATTCTAAAAATCTTGAGTTACATTCATGGTTGTTCATTATGCAGTTTATGTATTGAAAATTTCTAGTCTCAGTTAATTTTTTCAAAGTTGTTGGTTGAATTATGAAAGCTCATTTGGCTGTGTAAATCTATAAACACTTGATTATGCAAGATCTAATCTCCTATTGTACATTGTGTATGTTGTGGTTATTCTTCTAATTACTTGAAATTATAACAATCAAAACTAAATGTAAGTATAATGAGTTGATAACAAATTTTTTTTTCCAGAAGTTACCAAAATCTTCGAAAACTGCTGCTGATGGTTGCAATGTTGTTGAATATGGAGGCTCTTTGTCCAAAAAATTTCTGGCTGATAAAAAATTGTCTGCTGAAAAAAAAAAGATATTAAAAGATAAAAAAAAAACATTAAAACGATTATAATTTTGATGAGTAAAAAAATTTTTTTAATAAAAATAATTATTTAAGTTACGTTATTTTTTTTACACAAAATAAATATTATTCAAAGTGACTGAAAAAGTGTTTTTTTAATTCTAACTTTTTCACATTTGTTTTTCTAGAGTTTTCTAAACAAATGTTTATTATTAATTCTTGCTATTTAACAAAAATACAGTAATAGTAGCAGTTGTATCATGTTCGATGTGTTATTGACTTATTAACATATTAGCTGCAACTTTCAAATTAATATTATATATTAAGTTTAAGTCTCTTAAGTCATTAATATTAAGGGAGTTAAATGTACATACCTGAAAGTAAGTAATAGTTTCATAAATAATAATTTGCGTTAAATTCCTATTCTACATTTTTTTTAGCTTAGAGATTGTGTGCATAATATAAAACTATATACCTACATTATGCGCACACATAATAAATTATGTACCTACATGTAATTACAAATAGATACCCACTTGTATTGTACTTCTTGCCAAGTAATAAAGTCTGCAAAGCATATGGTTACAAAACACTGAGTAAAAGTTCGTCTGGTTATATGCCTCAATAGAGCTATCAAGATGTCATGAGTTGGCTATATTGGAGTTCATATCACTCGAGATGGTTTTTATATTCTCTACAGGGTTTGAGGATCGGGTTATTACTAGATCTGTATTCGACGACAGGGTAGTTGGCATGAATCATAAAATAAATATGCTTTATTATTACTTAACTAGAATTAGAACCTTGAATAAAAACTAACTTCAGTCCGTCTGGTAGATTTTTAAAATATATTGGACACGTATTTTTATTTTTTTCATATAATCATGAATTGACATAAAATTGTATGTCCTTATGACGTTATAAGCTCTCACTCGCGAATTTCGACTTGCTCTGTCTTTAACCACTTATCAGTCAAATTAAAAAAACTGTCAAATAGTCGTAAAAACGATATAAAAAACAATAAAAAAATATCCGATACAATACAACTATATTTGCAAAAACCCAAAAGTTATATTCATGTCCTTGAAACCGACCTGATGGCAAAGTTTAACATAGTTTTTTAATGCCATTAGTTCAATGTTATATATTTTGTATTGATACATCGATACTTAAAAACTATAAATTACTTAACACTTTCTTTTGAGATTGGTGTGGAACAAAGCAATCATAGTTCCCTAGACTGAGTTTGTGTTGTTTTATACATTTTCAACTTCTTTTATTTATTTTTTTAAAAACTAATTTACGTGTTCTAAATAAATTTTAAATGAATTTACTTTTTAAAATAACCTACCTAAAAACTGGCAGTTAATCATTATTACTCGATATTACTCTACTAATTGGTATATACATTTGTTTGTATAGTATTTAATAGTCCGATGTGTTTTGAAAAGTACTTATTTAAGAGTATCAAATACTACTTTATTATCAATGCTTAAGACTTTATACTTCTTTGGAGTATCTTCTATCACGACACTACATGAGGTTTAATGAAAATCATCATTTTTAGTCAAACTTATACAAAAATTATTAACTTTTGCTGAGCTTAAATAAAAATTATCACCTAATTCTACGCTTTTTAAAAACTAAAAAAATGTGCAAAGAGAGCTAAGAGTAATACGAATAGGCAGTTGTACAAATACGCGACTCAAACAATTGAAATTTATTTTTCTTTTCATTAATAAATAAAAAAAATCTTTTATCGTAAGTTTACATTTAACTTCGTGTTGAAATATCAATTAACAGTTATTTCAACGTATTCATTCGAAGATGACATAAAATAATTATAAAGAGATTTAATATACGAGTGTAAAATAGGCACAAACTAAATTTAAAAAAAAATGTATTGTTATGGTGATGACAACTGTAACAGCAAAAACATCTACTATTACTTGAAAAAGAAGCTTGTAAGAAAAATAATGATCACCAGAACAACAAGGGTCAAAGGGTAAACTAATATAAATAGTAACCATATAGAGTTGCAGTGGAAAAAAAACTTAAGTTCTTTTTATGAAGCGATAGCTTTAGCATTAGTACAACTTCAAGATATAGGTCTTCCATCAAGTCTTAATAAACATCGTAAATGCTTGATTAAACATTTAATGACGTAAATCTCAAAATAAAGCCAAAAATGTACATTTAAAATCCAAGAAATCAAAGTGCTGCAGTAAAATGTTACACTTAAATGCAAAAGAGTTTCCTAGTTCTTTTGAATATCACAGTAAATTTGTGAGAAATTATGTAAATGTTTAAATTTTTTCCTAGTATTGTAGCGTCTTATAGGTTGAATGATGTGGCTACTACATTAGTTCATGGAGATGCTCTTGACCACCGTTTTGTGTGGGCCTCATAGACTATATAAATTGTTGAAGTATTGATGAGGCTTCAAAATCGTTAAAGCAATCTTTCAATGAAAAATATAAATTAAAAACTGAACAGTTAATAGGATTAAATTTCATAAATAAATTAAGATTAATACAAAATGACAAATAAAAGATAGAATAAAAAATTTCCGAATCTCATAAAATAATGTATAAAGTAAACTTTAATCAACCTAGTTTAAAACAAATGTATTGAATGCGCTAACAAATCACGTAAATAATAACGAAAAATCGATAATAAAGAATATAATAAACAACTATAAAAGTATATTTGCAAAAGATAAATATAACGTAGGCAGAGTAAAGGATTATGAGGCCAAGATTGACCTCATAATAGAGAAATATTGTAGCAATCGACCATATAGGTGCACAATCGAAGATGAAAAACAAATAGAGGGACAAACTGCCGGGCTACTAAAAAGAAACCTCACAGAGGAATCTCTAAAGTATTAAAAGAATAGTATTAAAAATAAGAAACTACAAATAGTTTTTAAAATTAGATTAGTTGCTTTGATATTTATGGGTAGGATTGACAACTAAATTAAGTGATTTACTGTATGTAAAATAAAATAATAAAACTTTTTGTTATTTACAGAGAAACGTTTCAGGTATTATTGTTATCTAAGAAACAACGTTTTATATACATTAAAAAAGCTGACACAATGACTAAAGATTTTCTTAACAGCTTGTTAAAAAATAGATATTATGCGGGTTTTACTGGTATGATTAGGCCATCAAATTATAGCGGAACTTCCTCTTGTATTTATAATATTTTTATAAAAATTGATATTACACAAGCAGTAACTTATGAATTAAAGATTCCAACTCTAAATCATTATCCGCTATTTGTTGAAATAAGTAAAGCCCAAAATAGTACCATAAAAAACTGTGCACCCTACTTTAATTACAATAAATTTAATTCAATAGCTAAAACTTTTAGCTGGAGTATAGTACGATCAATGGATAAGAGAAACAAAGTAATGAATACTCTAATTAACCGAGTGCAGTATTGTATGGATAATATAAAAGGTAAATCGAACACAAATGAAAAAAAGCACAGTATAATTCTAAGAAAAATGTGAATTACTTTAGCAATGATAACATTTTGTATAAGAAAATGAATGTTATACAATTACATTAAAAATATTGAAAATAATGCATATTTAAAAATAGAAAATAATAAATATGTGAAAGTCTTGAACAAATCAATAAAAGATGCAAAAATAAAACATAGAAAAAATTTATGTAATAAAAATTGTAATAACGCAAAGCAACTAAAGAAGATTGTAAAGCTGAAAATCAGCAAAAAATTACCTGATATTATTAGTGCAATAAGTAGTATATACTACAAAGACAGAAATTTATTACAGCACGAAGCTAAAAAACAAATTATTTAAGTACTTACTTCTATAACATAAGTAAAGATTCAAGCGATTAGACTACTGCATGAATAAACTCATTAAGACGTCTACCTCCAATGAGAAAAGAAACAATTTTATACTACCTACTAATAAACATAAAGTACAATGTACAATAAGCAAACTAAAAAATAAAAAATGGTGAAACAGATAGAATAAATTCTAAGGTACTGGAATTTCTGTCTAATTTTATGTGTAAATCTTTCACTTATATCTATAATTTATATATCACACAATAAACATGGCCTTGTGCCTTGAGAAAAAGTAAAGTAATGCCCATTTACGAATGTAAAAGCAAGCAAGAAATTACAAATTACAGACCAATCTTACTAATATCAACCTTTGCTGAGGTGTTTTAAAAATTATGACGTCACAGGCTTTCAATATTTTCAATTAAAATCAAAATATTAGTAAGAAACCAATTTAGATTTATAAAAACTACAGAAACCAAAGACACATTTTAAAAATGCTGTTAAATTAATTGGCAATAAGTTGAACCAAAGTATAGCAATATCTTTTGTAGATCTAGCAAAGGCTTTTGATACAGTTAATCGTAACATACTGCTAGAAAAGATATGTAGCTGTGGTATCAGAAATACAGCATACGATCTCCTAAGAAGCTATCATAGCAACAGGAAACAAAAAGTAAGAATGCATAAAACCAAAAGTGATTATAGCACCTTAAATATTAAGTTTACACGAGGAACTACATTAAGTCTACTGTTATGTATTATTTACATAAATGACTTTCTAATTTCAATGCCATACAAAAAATAATAGAATACAGAGAGTCGAATATTACAAGTATTAAGGACTGATTTCTGACTATTACTTAACATGAAATAAATCTGTTGAACATATAATAGAAAAAAATAAAAATTTAATTTCTATTTTTTAACGTAACTCCCGAGTTCATGGATTATAATACATTTAAAAAAATTATTAAGGTGAAGTAGGTAGTAGTGGAACAGTTTTTAAGGCAAAAAAATTTAAGCATTTAATTTTATGTCAAATATGTGACCCTGTATAGGAAAAAAACTTTTTTTAATTTACGTTTTGCATTTTATTAATGGAAAAAGAAAGAAAAATCTTATAAAATAATTGAAGGAAATGAGTAAATATTATTTATGTAAACACTTTTAATACTGCAGTAGTAAGACAGACTTTCACCTGATGTCTGGTATAGTAGGACATGCTGGCAGCAATAGTGAGACAATATATAATACGCACGAATAATGATTTTCTATTATTCATACATTGAATTATGTAATGAAACATAATATATGATCAGAACAATATTAATAAAAACTAAAATTCGAAATAATTTACAAGCATAAACATATAAATACACAACATACAAAACTACAAATACCATTTCTTCAACATTTAATGCACAGCGCTCTGTCTTCTAAAATTTTTGTTTTATTTTTGGCATCTATTCCAAATGTAACATTTTGCTTTAATTTATTTATTTTCAAAATAGTTTTTTTTTTTGTGTGTTAACAACTGTTTTAGCGTAGCTTTTTAATTCGAATTTAGTTATTTATCCCTAGCTACCTTATTTTCCTTTCTTTCACACTTATTCAACATAATTTTCTGTTTTTTGCTTATCCTGTCTTTTTCTTTTTTTTTTTTTTTTCAAAGCTTTTACAGAAGATCATCAACATTAAATACTTGCAGAATAGTTGTACCTTTTTTTTTCTTTAAATTTCTGTTAAGAACTGAAAACACTTTTTTCAAAAGTAAACCATTAAAAACGAAAAAAAAAATTTCAAAATATAATTTTGTATAGATTAAAAATTATAACGTCCATAACATATATAGCATATACCATTGTTGATTTCTGATGGATTTTCAATATCTACAGAAGTATTTAAGCCACTAGGAATTTTATTACCTGGTACATTGAAGTCAATTTTATTTTTTATGCCACTTATTGTCTCATAATTGTGCACCGTTAAGTAAAGGATGTCATCTGAAAACAGATTATATAATCGTGACAATAAATTATGCTTAATCGAAATAACAATACTACAAACATTATGTAATATTAGTTATTATCTCCACGATTGCCTGAGTTCTCAAAAAAATTACTACTTGTGATTGTATTTTGGTTGATTATATGACTACTTGCAGACTGATTAACAAAACAGTACAGTAGGTCTAATACTCTGTCAAGTGTTTCTAATAAAGTCATATCGATGACAACACCTGCTTCAGATTCGTCGAATTCATTTGCAATAGTTACATGTTAAGAGGTTTCAAAATCATTAGCAAGTAAATTATTTGAAACATCGCACTCCCGATCCCAAGTACGACTTTGTGGATCCGAGGATACAGAGTGCGAGGTTTGTTCCGAATATATGTTGCAACGATCCAACTATTAATTAAAAAAGTATTTTCTAAATATATATTCTGTGTATCCCAATGGAATGACAAAACTTTAATTATAGACAGTCCTAGGTGATCAGGAAAAATACTTTTGTGTGAAACATGAATCTATTCGATTTTTCATGATAATAAGATTGTTTATGGCTTAAACTAGCATTACATCCGTTTTACATCTGAAAAAAGTCACTATCCATAAAATTTTCTGTTAAACTTTAAATTTAAACAGTAACAAAACTACTTTAGAAGGATTAGAATCAGAATAAAAGACATAAGAAGAAATAAATTTAACCACATAGGATAAGCCTTTTAATTCTAAAAAAACGTTAAATTTAGAAATAAATTGATAGTTTTAATAAAAAGGCTTCGTCAAATACTCCCCAATTTAAAAAAAAGTAAAAAGAGCATGATGATTGAAAAAACTGTTGAATTACTACTCCATTATTCCAAATTTCGCTTTTAAAATTAAATGCTAATATTTGCTTTAACAACAAGTAACTCTTGAAATAATAATTCGAAACTGGAGACAGAAAAATAAAAAGTTGGAGAATAGAGAAAGAATTAATCAATACACTTGACAAATAATTATTTTAACAATGTATAGTTGTACATAAGTGTACTTCTTGTATGCGTTATTTAGGTACCTTCTGAATTTTTCTTCTAAAAAAAATTTTTCACATTCACGTGCACAGTTTCTATTTTGATCAAAAAACGCAAGACGACGATTAAAATGCATCTATATTTTTTATAAACAATGACGAACAATGCATATCTTAATTGTCATATTTTCTACTTTTCTATGATTAGAATGTGATACTTTTTACTTTTTATTTTCTGATATTCATAGCATTTTAAATATCTTTCAGTAAACGAATTAAGAGATAAAGAACTGTTGATTAACCATTTTAATTTTATGGTGGAGGTGGTATCAAGACGAATCAAGTACTGAAACAGTTAATCATTTACTTAATCATAAACACTCGATGACCACAAAATTTGTGATTTGCTAGAAATAAAAAATTTGTTATTACGGTACAAAAATGAACAATACTCTTCGTAAAAAAAACAGTACAGTTACGTTTATTTCATCAAAAAATTTCCACTTACCACTTTTTTTTAATCCAACACGTTTTTTACTTTCAATTAAAAAATTTTATTTTTTCTTAAATCTAGTAACATAAGTAAAGATTCAAGCGATTAGACTACTGCNTCCTCCTGGTATTGGATATAAACTTACCGCAGATGGACAGTATGACTTAAATAATAAAAGACTGTGCAATGTTGGAACACCAGAACAGCCTCAAGATGCAGTAAATTATGCTTACTTCGTTGGAGTGGTTAAAAAACTTGAAAAAGAAATAGATAGCTCTAGAATTTTTATATACAACTTACAAAAAAAATTTTTATTTATTTTTAGCGTTTTTCATGACTATTTAATAATTCTTGAGGTCGAGTTTGTAATAAAGTTAGCTTATTTTTAATAATCTGTCATTTATTTATGGTCAATTATACGTCACGTCATTAAGATGCAAAAGTAGAAATAAATTGAATGTTTGAAGATATGTTTGATTATGTGTGAAAATTCAAAAGTCTTATTTTAAAGGAGAGTTTTAAATTAATCGAAATTGAAAGTTAATAAGTAATTTTATCTATGCTCAAGAAAAAAGATTAAGCGTCACAGTAATAACCTACATATTTTCATAATGAGCAAACAAGAATTTTAGTTTTTATGTGGTAAATAAGAATACTGGTAAGATCTACTGTTTAAACATCCTTTAAGTTTATTCGTTGTTTTTTTAATAAGTAGCATATTATCATGTCATATTTTTCTACATGTTTAAAAGCACAATCTATTAACTTATTATGACACAAAAAAAGTCAGCGTGTCATTGCTATACGTGAATGGTGGCTTAGAAACAATGGTGTTTTGCTAACAAGATATGCAGAAAAGATTATCATAATATTTTTAAATTGAATAAAATTTACCAAAAAATGTATGACGCTGTCGAAGTAGTGCAAGTAAGAACAAAATTTTGTTTTGGTATTTCAAGAAGGATAAGGAGGTATGAAACAGAAATTTTAACCCATAAAAAAATTAAAAAAAAGGAAGACTTTCATCTAACATGTAGTGAAGTAAAAGTTATAAACGGATTGTACGGCTACGGGGATCAAATAGAAAATTTAACTAAATGAAACGGAATGCAACAGTTCTTGTTATAAGTTGTATCAGAAGAAAATTATTGGCTCAGTAGAAAATTCCAAACCGTTGAATAATGTACAAATAAATAGGTTCACCTTGCTTGTATGACAAAGGGCCAAGAGGTATTAGAAAAATTTGAGAGGCCAAACTGTAAATTACAGACAAACTGAACTGATTTTATCTAAGATTGGAGGGACCATAGAAGGACCAAGGACATGTGGGGAGAAACAATAAAAGGAAAACTCCGCACCAATCAGATGGGATTTTGGGTCCTGGTTAAATGGGCTGAATTTAATATATGTTGTAGATTATGCTCTTCTGAACAAAAGTTTTCAAAGGCACAACGGCCGAAAATGGACAGTTTTTAAGTAAATATCTGATTAAGTTGTCAATTCTGCTAAGGTTAGTTTGACATTCGACTCAGGACAGTCAATGAATGTAGCTCGTTCGATGTACAAAGAAATGATCGGAAATGGTTATGTCAAATGCATCTGACATTCTTGACTGTTGTTAAGCGCATTATAAAATTATTCTAGCTCAATTAATAGTAGCGTAGACCATTTGCATTAGTTTTTTGTACAAGAAATCGATAGCCTTTAGTATAATAAAGAGCTTATCGTAGTTTACCGCTAAATGAATAGTTTTATAATTTTTTAACTATTAATAGCCAAAAAATACTCACTCAGGTTCATCAATATAAGCTGTCATTATTATTCTTATACAAATAGTTATGCTGACCGTATTCTTTACTATATCAATTCTTTAACGACTGTTAACAGCATTATTATAACCGAAATGTATTTTGTAGTTGATTATAACTAAATTAATCATTAACTGATAATAAATAGTTTTCTCATTTTTTATCCTAACTATTTTATTTGCGTTATTGATTACAGGTATTGTGAGCTTAGATCTCAACTCCACTACCACTTCCTCATCCAGTTTCCAAAACCTACTACTTATAGATCCTGCGTTATCCTGAACCTTTTCTTGTATCAATGAATACGAACTCCCGTACACAAGATAAAATTTTTTGAGACGATTAACCATCTCTTGCGATACATAAAAGTACTTTTGTCCACAGAAATTATCTTTTAAAAAAAAACAAACAGAAATTTTTTAAGGAATTGTACAAACTTTGTTAAGATGCATTATTATTAAAATTAAACTGATCTATTAAAAAATTATTTGAACTTTATGACAGTTTTTTAAACCAATAAAACTATTCTAATTTGTTTTCGATGTTCATAATTCAATATTATTTTTATAACTGTTTCACTATTGTAAGCATGTCAAATAATGCATAAAGCATTGTAAGTATGTAACTCCAAGTGTCATCACTAAGTGTATGCACGCATATGTGCGTACTTGTGTAACCAACTTTCATTATTCGTGTACAAAAATAAGACTTTGTCTTTCATTTACAATACACATTTTTCAGTGCTTAACAACTTTTGTTAATGAGCAAAGTAAAATTGTCTTGGCTACGGAAAATAATTGTATCGACGTTAGATACAGTTTGACTGTGTTCGTAACCTGTACAAAAAAAAAAAAAAAATTCAAATGACAAAGTTTGAAGTCCTATGTCCAGCAATTTCAGCATTCTGTTCAATGATGAACTTTCAACTATTAAAGGTATACAATTATTTTTCAAAAGCACTGTGTTATGTAAGTGTAAAGGAAATATCATAGTTATGTATATTCACTGTTTAAGTCCAGACATTTAGCCAGACAATATGCCAGACATTTAGCCAAACTTTTAGCCATATTTTTAACCGTACATCCAGCCGTAAATTCAGATGCATTGATCTATACATTGAGCCATACTTTAAGCTATACATTTAACCATGCTTTTAGCCATATTGTAAGCTATACTAGCAGCCATATATTCAGCCAAGCATTGAGCCATACTTTAAACCATACATTTATCCATACTTTGAGCTATACTTGGAGCCATACATTCAGCCAGACATTGTGCCATACTTGAAGCTGTGCTCTTAGCCATTTTTTTAGCCTTACTCTTACGGCCATACTTTGAGCCACTTTTTAAACCACTCTTTTAGTTATACATTAGGCCATACTTTTTTTTTTATATTACAGTGTACTAACCTCTGAGAGGTATGTACACCACTTTATTTAATATAGTTCTGTACATAGAGTAGGTTCTATACATAGAAGTGATATTTATTTACAGAAAGTTCTTCAGTAGNCTTAAAACTGTTTTTTTTCTTAATGATTATCAGTCTTTTGGATAAGGCACAATGTTTCTTAAATTTAATGAGATCTTCTAGTTTAAGTGTATTTAAATACTTTTTAAAGGCCGCAGACTTCAGTCTTGTCGACCGATCACAGTCCGAGTCCCACCAGGCAACAGGGTTGATGTGAAGGTGGATAGGCTGTAAAAAATGATGCTTTCTATGTTGTATGGAGGATACATGTTCATTTTTTTTAGGTCTTTGAGTAGGTCTTTTCTGGGAGCATCATATTATTGACAGGATCAGATTACATGGTTTAAATCTTCAGAATGATGTCCACATTTACATCCTAGATCCAAAATAATGCCTTTACGATGACGTGATTCACCCAGGCTGTGGTGGTTAGCCCTCATACGGTTTACACTTACAATGTAGTCTCTTGGCAAGTTCAGTTTTTTAAACCACGGATCCTTCCTTGATATGTGGAACAATTTAAAAAAGAGTTTGCCTTTAAGGTCTCTGTCTCGTTTGTTTTTGGCGTCACTGTTAGAGTACGCATTGAAGTAAAAGGTCTCGGTAAGATCCGTGTAGTTGACAAAGTCTACCTTTTGATCAGGAGAGCATGTAGCAAATTTAGCGATTGAGTCAGCCCGATGAGCCCTATGTGAGCTGGAATCCACACTAACTTAATAAAGGATCCAGGATTTTTAGTGACGTATTGGAGGTATTTAATTTTGATATCATATACAAGGTAATTGGTTTTAACACTATGCCTTGAGGAGGATAGGCTATTCAAGGCGCTAAGGGAATCACTAAAAACAAGGTAGTTACTGTCAGGGTAGGTTAAAATATACTCAAATGCTGAATTAATAGCTGTTAACTCAGCTGAAAAGACGGAACTTTTAGGGTGCAAGCTTTTAGCGTCAATAAACTCACTCTGGGGGCATATACAGGCAGAACCTACACTTTTTGAATCTTTAATTTTACTACTATCAGTAAAGATGGCTATGGCTTTTTGGAGCGAAGTAAACGTTTTTAGAGATTCATTGGGTGTAGCTGAATCTTTAATCGTCTTACCTATTTCTATATCAACAGGGATAGTGTAGAGAGCTGTGAAAAAGTGATGTTTGTACATGTTGTAGTTATCGTCTGTTCTAATGTTGAAGTCATTTTGTAAGTCAACGAAAGAGTAGATACATTTAATAAGGAGTCCGGGGGATCTAGGAAGAGACTCAAACTTATTGAGAAAAGATAAAATAGCTAGCGTAGTTTCGTGAGAGGTGTTGCTAAGATCTTAGATAAATAGTATGAGCAGAGGAAGCTTGAACGCTCTTTGATGGAGATTAGCCCTGATTCGGCAAGAAGAATGTTTGTCGGGATAGATCTACGGTATCACATGGCATACCGGATAGCAGCATATTGAATTTTTTCCAGTTTATTTGTTTTATTGAAGGTGGTAGGAAAATAGATAAAGCTCGCGTAGTCCATGATGGATCTAACAAAGCTCTTGTATAAAATTAGTAGAGTTTCTGGGTGGGCTCCCCACCAAGTTCCTCTCAAGTACCTGATGATGTTCACAGCAGTCATGCATCTCCTATGTACATGTGTAATGTGCTCATCAAAGGTCAATCTGTAGTCTAAATGTAGCCCTAAAAATTTGACACTGTCAGAGGACTTAGTATTGGAGGTGTCGATGAACAGTTCCGTTTCGCCCGGTTTAACACCTTTTTTATTTAGGTGAAAGAATTATGACTTTTTTTCGGAAATATTAAGTCCTATGTTGTCAAGGTTCATAATTATAACGTTTATGGAGTTTTCCATAGTAGTTTTACTGTCGGCTTTATTAGTGACTTTAGTGTAGAGAGCTAGATCATCGGCGAATTGGGAGGTAAACACATTTTCAGGAATTTCTTCGGTGATTGAAGAGACGTAAAGAGAATACAATAAGGGGCTGAGAACTGCTCCCTGGGGCACGCCTCTATAGGAGATGTGATAGTTGTCGCCAGTGCTTTCAGTGAAGATATGTCTTTTCCTGGTGAAAAAACTTATAAGTCTAATAATTTGAGGAGAGAAGCCTAATTCCGCCAGTTTAGATATAAGAATGTCTATGTTAACATGGTCGAAAGCACCTTCGATGTCCAGAAATACTGCATAAACCTCTTTTTTTTCTCTGAAAGCTTCATCTGTGGTGAGAGTGAAGTTGGTTAAATTATCCAAACATGAGTTGCCTCTTCTGAACCCATGTTGACTTTTTGGAATTAGTCCTTTAGTTTTCGACCACCATTGAATCCTGTTTTTGAGCAGGGTTTCAAAAAGCTTACAGAAACAGGAAGTAAGGGAAATTGGTCTGAGACCGTTTCCATTAGGTTTTTTGATGAAGTGAACATAACTTTCTTTCCAAGTGTCAGGATAAAGACCCGAAGCAAACATGGCATTAAAAACATCAACAAGTATAAGTTTTAGTTTGGTTGGGAGCCTAACAATGACCTCAAAATTAATGCCGTCTCGACCTGGGGAGGATTTCAAATTTTTTCCATCAAGGGCGTGGTTTAACTCGATAAAGAAAAAGGGAGAGTCGAGAAATTCATTTTTGGATGAGAAAGGAAAGAAACCTGGGTCTGTGGACCCAAGGCGGGCAGATCTTGTCAAGAGCAGATTCCAGCTTACTGTCGTTAATTTGCAAGTTCTCGGTCACGTGGTTTGGTTTGGCTTTGGACCAGCAATTGTTTAGCATTTTACACTTGTTCCAGACATAGGAAGGATCTGTGCGAACATTAATTTTTTCAGCGAATTGCTTAAAACTGTTTTTTTTCTTAATGATTATCAGTCTTTTGGATAAGGCACAATGTTTCTTAAATTTAATGAGATCTTCTAGTTTAAGTGTATTTAAATACTTTTTAAAGGCCGCAGACTTCAGTCTTATCGCACGATCACAGTCCGAGTCCCACCAGGCAACAGGGTTGATGTGAACTCTTTTTGATACCAATTTTCTTTGATGGGTGTTAGATGTGACTGCATTCGTTACCATTGTAGTAAATAAATTGTATGTTTCTACTGGAGAGAGTTCTTCAAATCCAGAAGAAAGAAAGAACGGAAAAGTATCTTCCAGCTCAGCATAAACCCTGTTCCAGTCGGTGCGATTTAAATTGCATTTAAATGTTTCTTTATTATAAATAAATTTTTCGATTGATACGTTAAAAAATAGAGGGAAATGATCAGAGTCCCATGTGTCCTTGATAGTCTCATAGCTAACCCAGTCTTGGAGGTTGTGAGTTGAAAAAATAAGATCTAAATTAGATCTGTAACCGTTGTGGACATTTATATATGTTACAGTATCAAAATTGTGGAGATGTAGATTGTAGGCATTATAAGAATTTTCTAAACGAATACCATTGTCATCTGTAGATTTACAATTCCAAATGAGGTTTTTAGCATTAAAGTCACCTACAAAAATTGTATAATTATTTGTATCAATGCAGTTAAAGACTTCATTCCATTCAGGCTGGGTTAGCGTGGAACCAGGAGATTTGTAGCAAACATACAATTTAATATTGGGTTCAATATTATTAAATAGGAGACCGCACATTTCAACTAAATACAGAGGGGAATCAACTTCTAGCTCCTTGAAGGCAAGGTCTTTACGAATAAAGATAGCAATACCTCCACCTGTTGAGTATAATAGATCTTTTCTATGTACACAGAATCCCTGTAGAATGTAAGTTTATTCAGGAGTAAGCCACGACTCAACTATGATAATAACATCTAGATCAAGTGAGATTTTTTTAATAGTTGTAAACTTGTTTGGAAGGCTTCTAGCGTTCCAGAACACTACTCTTGAAGGAGCTTGAAGAGATTGATTATTTACAGAATATGTACTTGGCTTCTGGAAATGTGCCGTCATTGAAGCTTATTAGTAGTTTAAAAAAAAAAAAAAAAAAAAAAAAAAAAAAAAACTACTTAAACAAAGGGTCGTAGTCTTCTTCTTCTTCGTCTACTTGAGAGTTGAACTCTTTAAGGTCGTAGTTTACTGCGTGTCGTTGGTTTTCCCCGTAGTTGTTACTTGATTGGTAGCGACTAGATTTGTTACTGTAGGTGTGAACTGGAGTCCATCTTCAAGGAACTTCTAGGCGTCGACTGCTGGAAGGAATCTCCTCTACTCCGGTGGCTTGGGGTCGCTGAATTTGATGACTGGGCAGACAGAAAATAGAGCCCTCTACAGTTCTTTTTGTATTTTTAACTGGAAGACTGGAGAAGCGAGGTTGATAGCTTGAATGCTCGTTTCCTGACAAGTAGGGGCAGTTTTTCTTCTGGTATTTAAACCAGTCCCTTCGAAGTTCTTTGGGCTTAGTAGATTCTTGTGAATGGATCTTGGCCGGTTGGGTAAAAGATCTTCTTTCGACGCGTGCAGGCGGGGGAGAACGTGTTTTGTTCTGGCCAACAACTTCGGAATATGTAGATTGGACCTGATCCGAGTCTTGATAAAGGTCACTGAGCGGCCGCCACCTATTGACGCTGTGAAAGCTATTATGCTGTGATATGCGTGGAAACGACTCTTTTGTGGCGTGTGGAACTTGTGGGACGAAGTCTCCTGAAGCAATCTTTCTGGCTTCGTCAAAGGACTTGTTCTCTGTGGCAATGATGTACTGTACACGTTTTTCCCTAATCATGATTGGACACATTTTGTCCAGAGCTGCATGTTCACCTTGGCATGCTGGGCATTTGAGTTTCTCACTTGCACAGGTTCCATCGTGTCTTTTGTCACCACACTTTCTGCACAATGCCTCAGATTTACAATAGGTGGATGTGTGTCCTGGTTTGTAGCATGAGAAACAGATTCTGGGAGAGGCAAAATATGGATGAACGTCGTGTGAGATTCCATAAAGGTATGCGAACCTAGGAAGATCTTGACCTACGAATGTGATACTAATTGAGGTAGTGGGGATCCTTTTGGGTTGAGACTCATCAAATGAATAAGCACGATTTCTTTTGGTTAATCTTTTGACAGATGCAACTTCAACACAGCTTCTGAGGTCAGCCGATATGTCCTGGTCTTCTATATCTGTGTCTACTCCTCTTATGACTCCTTTGCGAACAAGGCGATGTGAGGGGATGAAGATGTCACAATTCTTGCTTAGTATTTCTTGATCGGTGACGAGTTTGTTTGCTTCATGGATGTTTGAGCAGAGCACTTCAATTTTTCTTTGTGACTTGGGCACAATATGATCAATCTTGCATTTGTTGAAGATTAGTTTGCTAATCGCATACCTGTGCAAACGAGGAGTAGGGCCTTCGTTTGGTCTTTTACTGCAGATTAAGACACCATAAGGACCTTGGTTCTTTGCTGAATAGAATTTTGTTGCTGCTGAGCTAGCTTTATTTAGATTGTAGTTATTACCTTGAGTAAGGTTTGAAGAAAGTTAAGGATCTTCCTGGGTCGGTAGACGTTGGTGCTGCTGCTGCTGCTGGAGCTGTTGGTGTTGCTGTTGTTGCTGTTGATGTTTCTGCTGTAAGAGCAACTGTTGGTCATGATGTTGTGAAGCCAGAACTGGAAGGCTTTCAGCTGCTAGCTTATCGTTATGAACGTTTTTCGGAACTTTGCTGTCAGTTGGGACCTGATTGGCGTATTCTTCATTATGCCGCTTGTTTCTATTCTTGCTTACATCTGTCCAAGAGCCTTGGTCCTCTTCGATAATTTTTGCAATTCATGCAGCCAAATATTTGGCAAAACTTGGAGCCAGATATTCAACCAGGAGGACACCACTAACTGATATCTTTTATATAATAGTTGAAAAAATTAGCGTAATATGGTGCCAATAACCTACTTCATTATGGAAGGAGAAAGAGCGTCATTATTTACCCGAATACGAACTATTTTATTACTTCATTTTGACTTTGTACGAGTATCTAAGCGTACTTAGTCGCGGTGGCGCAATGGTAGAGTTGCAGTTCCGTGGACATCCGAGATAAAGCAGCGGTTAGTACTTGAATAGATTACTGTTAAAGTCTCGCCGTTTCGCCTGTGCTGCTGATTTTCGTGGGTCAATTAAATGTATCTCTGACGCTTCGACTACGTGGTTATAGGTGTGACTGTGTCAGCTCTGGTGTTTACACGTGTTTATACGTATAAACATCTGAAAATAACTTAGGTGCACAGATGACTGATAAACATCATTCTTGTGTAGGAGAAAGCCATGTCTGAGCCTGTGGGAGATGATGAATAATAAAAAAATTAAAAAAAAATAAATAAATAAGAATCCAAACGTACTCAAAGCATCGTTTAAGTTAGTGACGTCGGAGCTACACATATGCATATGTGCATACTTATGTAACCAGCTCTAATTATTCGCGTACCAGGTTAGAAAATCGTTTTACATTTTCAATACGCATTTTGAAGTGCCTTAAAAGTGCTTCAAGTCATACTTTAAGCCATACGTTCAGCCACTCATCGTACCGTACTTTGAGCTATACTTTTAACCATACTTTAAGCTGTACATTCAGCCACCATTGAGCCAGACATTGTCTCAGAATTTGAGCTACACTTGTAGCCGTACATTCAGCTAGACATCGTGCCATACTTTAAGCTGTACTCTTAGCCATACTCGTAGGCATACTTTTATAGCTATAGTTGAGCTATACTTCAAGCCGTATTTTTAACCATACATTAACCTATACTTCGAGCCATACTTTAAGCGATATCTTTAGCAGTACTTTAAGCCAGTCTCTTACCGAAACGAGCACTGCAAATTAATTTCTTAAATACTACAGTTTAACAACTGAAATATATGTAGTGCCATGAAACTTTTGTTTTTGAAGTGTAATGACTGAAACACTACTTTTTAATTGGATCCAAAGATTCACAAATCCCCAAGTTTTAACGTGTACCTGCAGTTGAAATGTTCAATCGCAGTGTTCGGTATGTAAGGGCCAAAAAGTAAGACAATTAACAGGTGACACACATTGAAAATGGGTTTGAATTCTGGCTTTAATCATTCAAGGAGAAAGAGCGTCATCATTAACATAAAAATGAACCATTTTATCACTGCATAATAACTATGTGTGAGTACCTATACGTTCTCCAGGCATTGTCTAGTCACTTACGTCAGAATCACCTATATGCATCTGAGCATACTTACGTGACTAACTCTGATCATTTGCGTACTAAGTAAAAAAATCGTTTCACATTTCCAATACACATTTTTAAGTACCTGAAAACTTGTGTAAATCGGCACGGAAAGTTTTTCTTGGCTACGAATAATAATTATATCATAATTAGGTATCATCTAACTGTGTTCGTAACCTGTAACAAAAACAAATGACAAAGTTTGAAGTCCGAGGTCCAGCAAACTGTTCGATGATATATTTTTTACCATTGAATGAACACAATTATTTTTTAAATTAACTGTGGATTAAAATTAGAGAAAAAATCGTACAGTTCTGTATATTAACTGTATAAGTCAAGACATTTAGCCAGACAGTAGGCCAGTCATGTAGCCATACATTTAGCTGTAAATTCAGGCACACATTGAGCCAATATGAGCCATATTTTGAGCTATACTTTCTGATATTCGCTGTGTGCAAGTGTATTGGCGTCATCTGATGGTGAAACGTTGTGTGATTTTATGGCTTTAGAGGATCCAATACCTTATAAATAGCAAATATCTCAAGTTTACAGATTTATCACTACAGCAAACGTGGAAGCAACAATAATTTCAACAATTTTGAATATCCCAGTTATCTATTATGTACAATGTTGAAGCAAAAAGTTACTCTGACATCTGAATTATTAAAACAAAAACGCCTTTGAAGCCAGTAACATAACCTCAAACTGTAATATCGAAGCAGAACAGACTCATCTCGACCATAAAGTTACGTGAGTATGACGCAAGTGACAGTAAGTGACATCTTCACTAGCTTTATTCTATTAATTACCATTCGTATGATCGAAGATTATATTCAATATCTTTTCAATAAAAAAACTGTGAACGAGGAGTTTATCGTGATAACAATTATATTAACATTTAGTGATTCAAAATTTTGAAAAACTCAATAACACGTAATCAATAATGTTATGAGTCCTCAAGAGTCCTGAGATTTTGTACATTTCTCCCACCATGGGCTCTTGGATCGCTTGTTTTAACCCCCTCTACGGACTTGCACACAGCGAATACTTTAAGTCAAACGTTTAGCCACACATCGTGCCGTACTTGAAGCTATACTTTTAGACATACTTTTAGCCATACATTTAGCCGTACATTCAGCCGGACATTGAGTCAAACCTTAAGCCATACTTAGAGCCATACTCTAAGCCATACATTTAGCCATACTTTTAGCCATTCTCTGAGCTAAACTTGGAGCTATACATTCAGCCAGACCTTATACCATTCATAAGGCCATACCTCGAGGCTTTTTTTACCCATACCTTCACGTATACGTTAAACGAGACATTGAGCCATACTTGAAGCCAAACCTTTAGCCCTACATTTAGCTATACTTTAAGCCATAACTTGAGCTATATTTGGATCCATTTATTTATTTTCACTTTTATAGCTGTACCTTAAACTATACGTTAAGCCATATTTTGAGCCATACTTTGAGCCATACTATGAGCAATACCTTAAGCCAAACTTTTAGCTATACCTTTGTCATACTTTGAACTATACTTCGATGATTGAAGCACACTACAGGGAAAGTGGTAGTGTGAGACTCAGTGAATTTTTTTTTTCAGACCACCTATACCCACTAAACCCCCCCCCCCATATCGCTTGGCTTTTGTTTCACCCTGGAACCGCGCTAGCATTACTTCAGGGTGGAGCCACCAGGGCGACCATCGTGTCTCACAGCATTAACGAGCTAACTCGCCACCATTTGCTAGAGGTGCCAATCCTCTCGAGTCCTCAAAAGGACTCAGGATCCCTGAAGATCGGCACCCGTTCTCTAGCGCTACAACATTTGATGCTTTCCTATGCTGCTGCCTAAAGGGCAGCCTCAGTATCCCGCGCGGCAGCTTTTTCCTCTTCCTTCTTGCGATGGACCACTGACCCGACGTAACCATCCTCCGCCTTTCATCTCTCTTCGGTGCGAAGCATCACAGAGATGATGTTTTCGGGAGTGGGTGTCACGCTGAGCTTGTACACCAGTTGCTGGCGCTCACGGTGCCATCTCTCGCACACGAAAAATGTATGTTCGACGGTATCATCCACTGCGGGGCAGTAAGCACATCTGGGGGATGCCTTTACCGCCACGCGATGGAGATAGGTATCGAACTGACCATGTCCAGAGAGGAACTAAGTGAGCTAATAATTCACCTCTCCGTACCGTCTCCCCACCCATGGTCGCAGGTCCGGGATCAGCCGGTGCGTCCATCTACCCACACTAGCCTGATCCCAATCCTGTTGCCACGTCGTCAACGTTTCCTCCTGCCTGTCGACATCACTTTCGTTACCGGAGCCCAGGAACTTCCTTCGCCGCTCCAGTGCAAGCAACACGACGGGAATCGTTCATGCTATCATCATATCAGCAGCAGAGAAAACCATGCAGTAGGCGCAAGCGATTCTTAGAGATCCGATGTACTGCACCAAAATGAGGCACTCTCGAACGTCCCGTCTCGCAACCGCATCCGCCCACACCTCCGCGCCGTACAGCAGTATCGAGTTGGAAACCGACGCCAGAAGCCGTCTTTTGGCTTCTCGCGAGCCCCCAACGTTCGGCATTTACCATGTTAGCGATCCCGCAACCTTGGAAGCTTTTTCGGTTGCTCTCTTGATGTGCTCCCAGAAGGTGAGCCGTGAATCGACCCACACCCCCAGGTAGCGCACAACCCGGCTTGCGAAGATTGCCTTACCTGCAACGTTCAGGCGAAAGTCCCCCCCGAATCACCTTTGCCTGGCAAATACGACCATCTCCGTCTTGTCAATCGCAAGTACAAAACCGTGATCCCGCAACCACTCCGACAGTATCGCGACAGTCCACCGAATTTTGCGCTCGGCCTCCTCTTGGGATCTCGCTGTGACGTGCAGTGCTATTTCATCAGCACAACCCGTCAGCTTGACCCCCAGAGGCATTTCAAGGCGCAGAAGTTCATCATAGACTAAGTTCCATAAGTCAGGGCTAAGGGCGGAGCCCTGTACGACTCCCGACGTCAGGCACCTCTCTCTTGGTTCATCCTTCGTGTCGTACCAGAGTACATGATCCTGGAGATAGCTATCCAGTATCTTTCTAAGGTAGTCTAGTACATTCTAGTGCTTTAAAGCCCTCATTATATCTGACCATTTGGCCGAGTTGAAGGCGTTTCTAACGTCGAGAGTCACCAGGACACAGGCGCTTCTCGTCTTATGTGAGGGTTTCCATGTCTCCCTCACCGACTCAAGGACCTCAGCCACAGCCATGACCTACGATCATATCTCTCGAAACCCGTACTGATTGTCTGAGAGACTGACTTCCCCTCTTAGATGAGTTCGTATCAGTCTCTCAAACATTTTCCCGGCATTATCCAGCATGCACGAAGGTTGGAGCGACAATGGAACCAAG